ATATATAAGTTACAGTGACCCGATCTTTGTTAATTTTACTGTAGACTATTTGTCAATAATGAGTGAAAATAGTGCGAAATATCATGTTTCTAGCTGCATATATTTAGAAATTATAACAAAGACTCTCATATCTGAGCAATTAGTTGTATGGGAGCTATATGTAAAAAATACCCGAGCTTTTTTATTTTCACTGTAAGAATTCTGTTGATAATCGTTGGAAGTATTGCAAAATTTCATGCTCCTAGCTGCATAAATCGAGGAGTCATAACGAAAATTCTCATAACTGAACAATCAGTTGAATGGGAGATATATGTTATAGTGACCCGATCTTTGCTATTTTCACTGTAAATATTCTGTTAATAATGAGTGAAAACGGTGAGAATTTTCATGTTCCTAGCTGCATAAATGGAGAAGTNAATCGTTGGAAGTATTGCAAAATTTCATGCTCCTAGCTGCATAAATCGAGGAGTCATAACGAAAATTCTCATATCTGAACAATCAGTTGAATGGCAGATATATGTTATAGTGACCCGATCTTTGTTATTTTCACTGTAAATATTCTGTTAATTATGAGTGAAAACGGTGAGAATTTTCATGTTCCTAGCTGCATAAATGGAGAAGTTATGGCAAAAAATCTCAGATCTGAACAATCAGTTGTATGGAGGCTATAGGTTATAGTGACCCGATCTTCGCCATTTTCTCTGATAGTAGTCTTCTGATAATGAGTGACAACAGTTCAAAATTTCATGTTACTAGCTACTTAAATGGAGGAGTTATAACGAAAAATCTTATATCTGAACAATCAGTAGTACGGGAGATATAGGTTATAGTGACCCGATCTTTGTAATTTTCTGTTGATAATGGGTGGAAGTATTGCAAAATTTCATGTTCTTAGCTGCATAAATGGAGAAGTTATAACAAAAAATCTCATATCTGAACAATCAGTTGTATGGGAGCTATATGTTATAGTGGTACGATTTTTCCGGTTCCGACAAATGATTAATACATTATAAAAATACACCCACCTACCAAATTTCATCCGGATATCTCGAAAACTGAGAGACTAGATAGCATACAAACAGACGGACAGACAGACAGACAGACAGACAGACAGACAGACAGACAGACAGACGGACAGACAGACAGACGGACAGACGGGCATGGCTAAATCGACTCAGCCCGACGTTCTGATCAGTTAAGTATACATTTTAATGGGTCTATCTCTTCTTGTTCTGGTACTTACAACCATCGGACCAAAGTTATAATACCATTTCACGCTCATGAAAGGTATAAAAAGAGACTCACGTCACTTTTAAAGGGCTAGCAACACGATATCGTAGTAAATTGCGATCCGAGTGCAAGATATTAAGGGCACAGTGCTATCAGAACTATCTTGATAAAGTCTAAAGAAGCATACAAACAGACACTAACAAATTGTGGGACTTTTTGAAAAATAAACGACAGAGTGACGTCGATATTCCATCAAACATGGTGTGGACCGATGTTACTGCGAGCTTTGGAGCCAACGTTAGCAATCTGTCCGCTTCCTTTTTCGAAAGCGTGTATAATACACCTCGATCACAAAATTCTACCGATGAACTCCATGATGACACAGCCAGGGGCCGCATGGACTCTGGCATATCGAATTTCGAAGTCCGATTTGATGATGTTTTCATACAGTTGTCGACGCTAAGCATCAATAAGGGCGCTGGACGATGATGACCTTCCAAACCTATTTAAAAAAAAAAAACTGCGTTATCAGTATGTGCGAACCTATTACACACATTTTGGAAAAATCCCTAAAAAACAGGTAATTTTCCATCTGCCTGGAAAATATCTTATGTTACTCCTATACAAAAATCAGGTGATCATTCTAATGTTACAAACTTCAGACTGAATATTTCTTCGCTTGGTTCCTTCGCACTCACCTCACTAAACTTTTTATTTCCACTTAAAAGGAAAGGCTTTTGTTAATAATTACAAATATTTTTCTGTTTATTTGTGCACAACAATTAACCAAGTTTATCTGTGTATGTACAGAGCTTATTTATTAAATATTTAGATTTAACTCTCGTATGGATGTGAACTACCAAACACTAGGGCACGTGCGCGATGTCCGACGTTTTTGGCTGAACTGTTTTCTGCGGATTTTGCACGATGATAGGGATGCGGCCGTGCGCGCTCGGTACTCATGTTTTCGGAGTCGACGTCGGTCAACTGCCAAACTGCTGCGGCCAAGGATTGCGCGCACGGCCGTCGTATTGCGCTTTAAACGGCGGCTTAAACACAGACCAATATGCATTCAGTCGTCGATGGCCACGTTGGTCGAAAAAATAATTTGCATTCAGAAACATAACTAATACTAAGCAACATGGACTCCTCGGAGGCAGGTCTACAACCACAAACCCATACATTTACATCAGCGCAATTCTCAACTCGTTAGGCAAGAGACTAGTAAGGCTTTCGACATGGTGGACCACGAATTATTATTAAAAAAAAGTCAATATGGGATGAAACATCCCTACAAGAATTGTGTGATGGAAACTAACACATTCTCATGTATCTTACTAACAAGTTTGCAAATTTTGCGCTGGTTAAAAAGAGACCATAAGTTGAAGGAAGACGGAAGATCACATGTACACTAATGTTTACATCAGATTTTTCACACTGCCCTTTATAATTTGATAGAGACTTGTAGGTAGCCAGTGACAGAAATCTCTATCAGCCTTGCCACTCAAATGATTTGTCAAATGATAGTCACTGTTCTTGCAGAGATAAAGCACTCAAGAGAGTCACGACGTTGTATCTGCAGTTCCGCAAGGGTCACACCTTGGCCCAATTTTATTCAACATTTTTATAAACGATATCGGTGATAGCTTCAACTCTGAATACTTATTATATGCAGACGATCTGAGAATATATAGAGAAAATAGTAGCGAACAGGACAAATAAGCTCTACAGAATGATATATGTATACAAATTGGAGACCTGGTGCAAGTCGAACAAGCTATACTTAAATGTGAACAAATGTGCAATGATCTGTGATCGGACTTCTACCACATTATGGTAGATCTGCCACTTTTTTGAGCATCTACCACATCTACCACACAAGGTCTGAAATCTACCACATATTCGCGTTTTTGAGTAGTTTTATTTTTCTGGATATGGGAGGATAAAATAAACTATAAAATAGTAAATTTTCTCAATATTGAATTTTTCAACAGGAAACGTGGGTTTATTGCGTTAAATTGCAAAATATATGCTTTATAAAAAGAATTAATAGCGAAAATTAAAAAAAACGGCGATTTTTGTGAAAATGTTAGCAAGATTCAGTGCATCTAGAGTTTCTAAAGCGTTGTTTACTTTTACTTGAGAATTGCCAAAATCGGAAAATCGCAAGTAGCGGCTTCTGGAACGTGCCTCGTGTGATAAAAAAAAAGCTGGCAGCACTCCGCAAGGTTGCAGAAATCTTTCAAAATATGTTCGAAAAATATCTTGATATACACTGTCAAGGAAAACTCCAAAACCAAACTCAACGCAATTTTAAGCATCTTCAATCTTGCACTTTATTATACTAAAATTATTTTTTTTAGATTCTAATTAAAATGTTTGCAATTTAGGTGAAACGTTGCAGAATTTTTTTCATTTTTGTACAAAGTTTGATCCAAAACCTGAGATCTACCACATTTTTTTGGAAATCTACCACATTTTTTTCCAGATTCTACCACACAAATTTTTTTTTAAGTCCGACCACTTGCAGCGATCGTCTTCTCGCGATCTCATAACCAATCGCCACCTGTATATCAATTAGGTGGACAGCATATACAAGTAGTAGAAACAATAAAGGGCCTTGGAGTAATCGTCGACAACAAATTAACTTTCAGCGAGCCTATTAGTTATATAACCCTTCGAGCATATAGAACACTTGGATTCGTGTGTAGATCCGGCAACGAATTAAGAAATGTTAACACACTTATTGGACTTTTCTCCGCGTTTGTTAGGCCAATCCTAGAATACGGGTCGGTGATATGGTCCCCCTACAGACAGCAACAAATTAACAGCTTAGAAAGAATACAAGTAAATTTTGTAAATTTATGCTTACTTCACACATGCTGAAAACACTATGACTGTTGATAATATCTCAGCCAATTCAATGTCTCCAATCTGGTGAAACGAAGACAAGTGACCGACCTGACCTTCTTCTATAAAGTTGTTAATGGTATAATTGATACTCCGGAAATTCTAGCTGAGACTGGTTTCATTTGCTCAAGAACAGAACTAAGAGCGACGAGGCTTCTGGCTGAGAAAAATCAACTAAAAATTAAGTCTTCTCCAGCCCAAAAAATAGAATCAATCGCCAACATCAAAAACAACTTGTATTGCAATAATGTACATTCAATTATTTAGTAATTCCGTCACTCACTGAAATAATCAGACTTTGGTAATATTTGTCTTATGTGTTTCCTCTCTTTAATTAAGCTTACAATAAATTAAATTAAATTAAATTCAAGTTAGAACAATTTCATAAAAAAAAACCTAACAAATAATTATAAAAACCATAAAAAAAAAATCAGCCAAGAGTGATAGACTGCAATATAGGGAGAGTACCAGTTTGATAGAATAAAACGTAACCAAAGATCATAGAAAGTAAGGATGCTGGCTATGTTTATGGCCCCTTATAATCATGTACTTTGTGATAACGAATGTGCTGCCACTTTTGCAAGAAAAATAATTTTTGGGTCAGTGTACAGTTAGACCTTTTTAAATTAATAAAGAAATCACTGGAAATCGGGACATAATCGGTACAAATATGAAAATTCGCGGCTCTTATACATACGTTCCGACTTTTAAAAAATATTCAGCGGGAAAATTTTCTCTAAATCGGTATTGTCCCGCCAAAATCGATACGAATGGTCACCGTAATTATACATCAAGTGCCCGCAACTCAAGTCAATGTTGAAGCTTGTTCTTTGCGATTCGCGATACAATTTCTCCGAACAGAACTTGGCAGCTATATTAATTACACCGGTTTACAGCAAAAATCTTCAATGAATTCAATTCCTATAAAGAAGGTTGACGACTAGGTTTCAGAACGCATGAAGAAAGTGTATACTTACATATCGTCGCTTAAAGTACAAAACCGCATATCGTCGTTCTGCAAAACCGCGTAACTAAAATTTTTTGCCAAAAATTGGATTTGCTCACACAAGCTCTTAGCTCAAGCCTTATCCATTCGTCCTGAAATGCGATTTCTTTGTAAAAAAGAGAACCATTTTGAAATATGAGTATTTTTACTCTCTACAAAATAATTTATACAAGCTCACATACGCAGTTGTGCATTTTGTTGATACACGGTTTTGTACTTTAAACGACGATCTGTTAGTTGTTTATCGGAGGGCGGTCTGTTCAAGCCGACTTTAGGTGTTTGCATAAATTAAAAATTTGTGAAATTTAATGATGATGCGCTAATCACAAAGCCTAATTTTTTACAAAATCTGATGAGAAATGTAAAAGTAAATTTGAACCAAAATATAAAACGGTTTTATTTGGGAAGAACATTATTTAGAATTCGACTTTTAAATCGCAAGATTGTAATCAAAATAAGAAAACAAAAAAATAACAGAATAATGCGCGCGTGGTTTTTATTACAAAATGTAAAGAACAATTACGATGAAGTCTCCTTTAACAGTTTACATTTTAAATATTTTTAATAAAAAAAAGGTGCGAACCACGTATATAAAAAAAAGTACCAAGCACTAATAATGGTTTTTGATTTGAAATGTTATTACATTGGTATAAATATGGGAAAGAAAATTCTCCGATTTATTGTTTTAATATTATCAAAGTGGCAAGGCCGTTGATAATACTCACAATTTATAAAACTTCAAAAAATTGTATTATCCGTCAAAAGTTGTTTATTGAAACTACCTTCTTTTTTGTATCATGGACCGTATCATGATTCAATTATTAAAGGTTTTGTAAGTAGCTTTTTTCTAAAATTTGGCACTCCCACCCACAGGGGTGGTTTATGGAAGCAGGAGAAAAAGGGGAAGAATTCAATCAAACTTCCTGAAACGGGAGCTAAATTCCATAAAAAGGCGTGGATAATAGTGAATGGTGGTATTTTAAAACAAAAAATTTAATCAATCAATTTAAACAAGCTTATTTACATCGAATGTAACCCCCGATTGTTATTGAAAATAAATATTTCTATGTATATACCAAACTTGCGTACGTCAGATGGCGCATAACTCGAGAATGGATGGTCCACTTTCAGCTTTTTATACCTTTCATGAGCATGAAATGGTATTATAACTTTGGTCCGATGTTTGTAAGTACCAGAACAAAAGGAGATAGACCCATTAAAATGTATACTTATATGATCAAAACGTCGAGCTGAGTTGATTTATCCATGTCCGTCTGTCCGTCTGTCTGTCTGTCCGTCTGTTTGTATGCAATCTAGTCTCTCAGTTTTCGAGATATCCGGATCAAATTTGGTAGGTGGGTGTATTTTTATAATGTATTAATCATTTGTCGGAACCGGAAGAATCGGACCCCTATAACATATAGCTCCCATACAACTGACTGTTCAGATATGACATTTTTCGTTATAACTTCTCCATTTATGCAGCTACGAACATGAAATTTTGCAGTTTAATAAATACTGCATATTTTCCACAAACAAATAGCTTCTTCATATCCATCATCTGGCAAACAAATACAACAAAAAACAAGTAGGAGCAGCGCTGTCTTCGGCTATGCCGAAGGCTTCATACCTTTCATGAACATCTGCAAATTTTAGTTTGACAGGTTACTGATTTTGAATACATCTGCATACATCGATAGAGGAGTTACATACTTATATAAAAAATCGCATCTAAACAATCAGAGGTATGGAAGATATACTTTATATGGCACCAATCTAAGTGATTTTCACTGCTATGTGATCGGTATGTAAACCGGTAACACAATTTATTGGGTTTAGTTTCCTACATAAAGGA